GGGGGGGGGGGGGGGCGGGAAAGAGAGAAATCCAACGAGACGTACCCACAATGGCACCGGCCCGGGCTCCGACCAGAGAGGCCCGCCGCCCCGTTCCCCGCCCGGGCGCGTCGGTCGGCCCCGAGGGAAAAGCCACCCCTTGGAGCGGGGCGAGGGGCCGAGTTCGCCGGCCTCACTCGAGAGCGCCGTTGGGTACATAAACACACACACACACACACATAGACAAGCAAATAAGCCGACCAGCCGGCACACCGCACTCGCGCAAACACACCTCACGACACCCCAGGCACACGTACATTGCCCGATTGAGGGGGAAGGACCAGGGCAAAAGCTTGACAGAAATGACACCTGTTCGGGCAGGGGATTGTGGGTTTATTTGGGTCACGTGTCCACGAGGTCACGGGCAGAGGTTTTGAGTCGCTCTACACCCGCCCCGTCGGGGGGGGTTGCCCCGCCCTCTTTCTCGCGGTCTCGGCTGCGCGAAGCATTGCCGGGTCGCCCCCCCCCCCCCCCCCCCGGCGAGTGAGCAAGTGCCACCGTCTTCCTGTATTTCCCCACGGGGGGGAGGGAGGTACATGCGGGAGGCAGAGTGAAAGCGCGCCGGCCATGTGGCCATGACCGGCGGGCTAGTGGCTATGCGAGGAGGGGGTGGCCAGTGGGGCCGGCCGGGCGCCAGAGCGCAAGCGAAGGGCAAAGGAGGTCAGGGGACAGTGCCGCAGCGGGGCCAGATATGTGGTGAGGACCTCCTGGCACGTGTGGAACATATGGTTGGAGGCCTGGGGTAGAGGCCGAAGCAGGGGGGGGGGGGGGACAACAGCCGAGACGGAGGAAGGGAAGTTGACATGAATGGGTCAGCCATGGGGCAGTGTGAGCCGGTGCGGGTGCCGGAGAAGGGCAGGGGGGGAGAGCGCGAACGCGGGCACATACTGCCGAGGCGGCGGCCGGATTGCCGGAGCCGTCGAGGTAGGCATCTGCCAGAGCCGACAGGAAAGGCTCGCGCAGGAAGATGCACAGCCGCGCGGCATGGGTGAGCAACAGCGTATAGATCGAGAGGATGTTGGTGAGGTAGGGCCGCGCGAAGTCATCCAACTCCGGCGAGTAGGCTGTGCGCCAGCGAGGAAAACCAAAGTCAGCTTCTATGTTGCCGGTCGGGGCACCAGGGGCAGGAGAGCCGGGAAAGCACGCACCGAGGCGCAGAACACGCAGGTAGAGCAGACTCTGCAGGAGAGGCGTGAACTGCCGGGCCAGCCGCGACCAGCTTGCCACGAGAGCGCCGTACGAGGCGGGGTCCTGGGCAGGAGGGACAGAGAGAGACAGAGGGGGGGGGGAGGGTCAGCGCTGGAAGGGCAGCCGGAGAAGGCAGCCCATGTGGCTGGCGACGAGGAGAGGAAAAAGGGAAAGAAAAAAAAACACCCTGCAAGGCCCCTTCTCTGGGGGCAGCCGGGCCGCCCGGCGTCTGGACGCACATGATGAAGCAAGACACCGAGCGAATGCTCGAGACTCCGTTCGGCTGGATCCGGGCCAGCGGCCGAGGCTGCCGCCGCCGCTTCCAGCAGCATGGCAACCCCCTCGCGACAGGCGTCGAGGCTCGGGGAGAGCGATTCGGTTGACGCGCCACTGGCGCTCGACCTGGCCCGGCGGTAATCCGACTGCGGGGCCGCCAGCGCCGGGAGCTCGGCCCAATTGACGCTTCCGAGCGAATGCAACGTCAGGCTGAAGTCGGCCAGTAGCTCGTCGACGATGCTATGCGTGGCGTCGGTAAACTGAACGATGGTGGGCGGGGTGGCGGCCACGTCGCCGAGTGGGTCGCGCAAGGTTGCCGGCTCGAGGATCTGCGGCAGCCGAAGGAGGGAGCGGCACAGGGACGGGCCGGAGGGAGGGCGGGGTACATGGGGGACCATTTGCGCGTGGGGCAAAAGGAGCGCGCGTGTGTACGTGCGTGAGTGTGGGAGGGAGGGAGGGGGGGAGGGGGGGGGAGGGGGGGCGAAATAGAGTCGAAGAGCGTTCCGCCACAAGGAGCACGCACCAGCTGGTCCAGATGCAGCCAGTAGCTGAGCGGCCGAAGCCAGGCAGCCTCCTGCCCGGTGGGCGCCGGCGAGCCAAGCTGCTCCACCCGGCCGGTCCCCTCGAACATGGCTAGGTCCAGCGGCAGGGTCAGATCCTCGGCCGGGGCTTCACACACGGGAACTTGGACCATGGCATCCGAGGTGGCCAGCGCCAGTGACAGAAGCCCCAACTGGCTGGCTTGCTGCGGGGCCGACACATGCCGGAAGAAGGACTCACAGCTGGAGATGATCGATGGGTCCGGTCGAGCACCGAGCCGGATCAAAAAGGCCACCGGTGCCTCCATGTCGCCATCGGCCACCGGCACCAGGCCCGGCGGGGGGGGCACCGGGAGGGAGTCATCCCCGCCGCCGGGACCAACCGGCACCGTGGCGCTCAGGTGGTTGTACAGGCGCGGCAGTGACAGCGGCACGGGGACCGCGGTCTCCGGGAGCAAATCCTCCAGCAGGTAGATCGGCGTGCTCGACCGGAAGAGGGCCACCACCATGAGCGTGGCATTGCGCAGAACCCGAGCCACATCCAGCAGCGTGGCTGTCCGGTGATATGAGGGCGCCGGCACCGGCCGAATGCCGGAGGGGCCCGGAGCACCGGAGCCCTCCGGCGGGCCGGGATACTGCCGCGGGGGGAAAAACACCGTCAGCACCGGCGACTTGAGGACCCAGGAGTCGAAGTCCTCATCCTCGATGAAGGAGCCTGCGTCAGGTGGGCCCAAAGGCGGGGGATCGGTGGAGGGAAAGGGGAGGGCCGGGGGGGGGGGGGGGGGGGGGGATTGGAGGTCAGTCGAGGCATGAGGTGTGCAGGCAGACGACGGCCGGGGGCAGCTGCTGCCCCACATTCCAAACGCGAGAAAGGAGGTCCGAAGAGGGGGGGGGGGAGATGAACACACCATCCAAGAAGCCCGGGTCAGCCGGCGGGGCGGGATCCGAAGCGGCGACGGTGGCCGGGACCGCGGCAGTAGGGACTGTCACGATGGTCGGAGTGACCGACGGATTGGGCTCCGGCAAGAGAGCCACGGCGGCCGGTTCATAAACCGCAGCCGGTAGAACGCCAACGGCAGCTTGAATGCCCAGATCGAAGTGCATGCACAGCACGGCAGCCGTGTGGGCAGTTTGCTTGGCGCCATTGACAGCCGGCGGGGCGGACCATGGCAACCGTGGGCCGGGATCTGGCGGGCCGCCAGTTACCTAAATGGCAGGCAACATACGAGGGGTCAGCTGGGAGGAAAACAAAGGAGCGGATGGACACCCGAGACAGGGAAGCCCCCCCCCCCCCCCCCCCCTCCGTCACCGGAGTACGAAGCCAGATGTGGAAAAAGGGGCAACGGACCGAGAAGAACACCCGCTGACGAGCAGTCTCCAGGCCGGATTCCGGCGAGTCCCACCAGGGCCGCGCCGGCAGCCACATGTGCTCGCCGGCCTTGGCCACCAGACGGTGATTGCTCAAGGCGAAACTGCCAAAAGTGACAAGGCGGCACGGTCAGTATCAGTGCTGCAGCAGCAGCTGCTGCTGCTGCTGGACAGGTGGGGGAAAGCCGAGATGACACATGAAGCTGGGTGGCTCAAACAGGCAAGGATGCCCGACAAGATGCCCCAGCGCTTAAGCAAGGAAAAAGACCCAAAGGGCGGGGGGGAGGGGGAGGGACGATGCCATGTGCGTACCCGGTTGTGGCAGTTCCCATCGCCGCCACCGAGGCAATGTGGTCCAGGATGTTGACCGCGTCATGGAACCATGCGCCCTGAATGTGGCGGAAGAGAGGACCAATGAGCTCCGGGGAGGAAACCCCATCCGGGAGGATTTCCTGAGAAAAAAGACAAGTGCGATGCGCCCGCCCCACAGGGAAAGGAAAAAACGTCGGAGCATGGACGAGAAGGGGAACCAAGGGCCAGGCAGGTGGATCGGGTCAGAGAGGCGGGAAGAAGAGGCGGAGCAGGAAAGGCCAAAGCCCTGGCCAAAGGAGTGCAATCGGCGATCGGGCAACCCACCGTCTGGGAAATGTGCGACATGACACTGCGCAGGAGGATGAGCACAATGCGCAAATGCCGGACCGGGCCACACTCGGCCAGGGCCAGCAGATACCGCAAGGTCGGCACCTCGAACGCCGGGAAGAAGGCATCGGCCAGCCCGGCCACCAGGTGCTTGATGTGCTCGACTTCCGGCACGCGATAGCGTGCAAGGAACCCACCAAACCACCGGGCCAGCTTGGTGAAGCCGCGCGAGCTGGCCATCGAGGCAAAGGTCTGGGCCAGCACGCGGACACGCTCATCCGGCGACGCGCCGGCCACCCAACCGGCGGTGCCGCTCCCACTGACCCCAGCCCCTGGGAGAAGGTTTTCCCACGAGGAGTCCATGGATGAGAAGGAATTGAACCGGCTCGAGCCGGCAAGGCCGGACGGAGCCACATTCGGCCGGAAGAAGGGGGCTCCGGCCATGCCAGGGACTGCCTGGACCGGAGACGCGGGGGCGGACATCCCCCCGGCCGTGGTGGCGGACATCACCGCCCCGATGGCCGGCATGGTGGGATGAAGCGGGCTGCCGGTTGAGGGCGCGGTCGAGGTGGTGGCGGCAGCCGCGGCGGCTGCCGCCGACGCCGCCGCCGCCGCCGCCGCCGCCGCCACCGCCGCCGCACTCGAATGCACCGCCCCAGCCGCGTGGCGCCAGAAGAACATGTATGGCACGGCGGCCAGAATGGAAAAGAGCAGGCGCGTGTCGCTGGTGTCATCATCCGCCAGCAGCGGCGAGTCGGATGGCAGTCTGGCGCTCAGCTCGGCCAACAGGGCCACCGTGGCCGGCTCGGTCAGCGGGTGGGCCACGCCCTTCAGCAGGAGCTGCTGCAACCCGCCGAAGGTCTGCCACCGCCCATGCCCCGGGACCGTGGACACCAGCAGGCGAATGAGGCCGGAATCCGGAGCCGGCAGCGAGGTCGCACGGGTGCCATCCTCATCATCGGAGTCCATGCCAGGGTCATGATCGGGCCCCTCGACATCGAGGACCGGCATGCCCGGCGCCTCGTTGAGGGTATTTCCGCTGCCGCTGCCACCGCCGGTGGCAGTGCCGCCAGCGGGACCGACAACCACGCGCGGGGTCGGGCTGTCCGGCGACTGAACCGACGTGCCACGCGTGCTGCCGCCGCCGGCCGTGACCAGCGATTCGGGCTCGGACCCGGCGATGCGCACCAGGCGCGTGAGCACCCGCACGGCGGTCATATACTCGGCCGCCACATTGGACTCGAGCACCGCCACAAACACCCAGAAGAGGGGCGCAAACAGCTGGCGAATGTCCGCCGGAAGGGGCTGCCGCGCGGACAGCAGCACCGCCGCTCGACACACCAGCTCCGATGCCACGGACTCCAAATACCCGAGCAACTCGCGCGCATACAGCCCCGAGTCCACCAGGTGCTGGCACAGGAGCCCGGTGTCTATCAGCTCGACCAGCTGCGGGTCCAAGCCCGCCGGGTCGGCGCCATCAACCGCCGACGACAGGGAAGCCAAGGGCCCCGGCGGCAAGGCAGGCCCTGCTGGCGGCGGCGGGCCCGACAGGGCGTCCTCCGGAACCAGTGACCGCGGGGGGACTGCGCTCCGGGCAGACCGGGCACCGGCCGTGGGGGCTGCAGCAGACGCGGCCGCGGTTCCTCCTGGCCGGGTGGAGGCGCCGGACGCCGGGGCGCCCTTTGCCGCGGGGAACCCCCCGGCCGGCGGGTAATCCGGCGAGGACAGGACCCCGGACAGCTGAACCGCCACCGCGCGGATGACAGACACGGCCGGAGCCGGCGCAAGGAGCCGGAGCAGGCGCGCCGAAATGACCCGGTGCCGGAGCAACGGCGAACAGGCCATCCAGTGCAGGGCCACCGAGGCCCACTGCTCCCGGATGTCCATCACCCCGAGGTCCTCGGTGAAGACATCCAACACGGCCTCGATCCACGAGGCCACTGCGCCATCGGAAAACCCGGGCGCCTGGTCCCAGGTGATGGTTCCGCCGGAGGTCTCCTCGGCGAAGGCCATCTCCGTGGCCTCGCTCATGGCCGACTGCTCGGCCTGCAGCAGCAGCGCCAGATGCCCGGGAACCGGCGACCCAGCCGACGCCAGAGAGCTGTCACTCGATGCGCCGCTCAGGGCCAGGGTCACCGTCAGCACCGGACGCCCACCGGTGTTGGCAGGGTTCGAGTGGGCCGATGGGGAGGGACCCGAGGAAAGGGCAGTGGCACCGGGGCCACCACCACCACCGCCGCCGCCGCCGCCGCCGCTGTTGCCGGAGGGACCAAACTCAGCGGCAACCTCCGGGCAAACGGCGCGCGCAAACGGCATCAGCCCCACGCCCTGGATGATGCGCGAGTCGGATTTCAGCCCAGCCGTTGCGGCCAACAAGCCGCCCACATTGTTCAGCCGTTGGAGGAACTTCGAGCTGGGCGACAGGGGTCGGGCGGTGGCGGCGCCAGGGGGCGCCAACCGCCCAAGACCAGCACCCCGGCGCCCGGGGAAGGGGCCCGGCCCGGCCCCGGCCGCCGGCGAGACGGCCGCCAATCCCGGCGACCCGGGAGCCGCAGCCTCGGCCGAAAGCAGCGAGTGGGCCAGGTTCACCAACAGCAGCCGGCTCTGCTCGGCGAAGAGCGAATCAAACCCCAGCCCCAGGGGAGCCCCGCCGAAGTAGATGGACGACTGGAACGAAAGTTCCGTCTGGTCCGGTGGCCCGGCCGGGAAGCTGCTCGACAGGACGGTCAGGCTGAGCGCATGCAACAGGTATACCAAGTGCGGGCGCCACAAGTCCACCGGCAGTTCCGGGACCAGATCCACCAAAAGCACCAGCGCAAAGGCGTCCCGTCGAGCGGCCGACCGCATCTCCATGCTCCGAGGGGACAGGTGTGCCGGGAGGGCCGGCCGCACGGGCGGCACCACCGCCCAAATGAGATCCAGGAGGATGGTCTCGCAGGCGGTCGTCCGACAGGCAAAGACAATGATCTTCTTGCAGTGCGACAGGAATGCGGCATCCTCGCTGTCCTTCGGGGAGAACTCGGCCGCCGCTGGGGCGCTGTTCCCCACAAGGCCCCCGAGGATGGATGAGGCAGACCGGGCCGCGGAGCCGGCCGTGCGGAAGCCCCCGCCCGTGGCCGGCTCCCAGCCCGCCTCATCAAACTCATCCTGGGCCAGGGCCAAGTCAAACAGGTAGTCCGGCTCGAGGAAGTTGGACCCCTGTCGAGAGTGCCCGGCTGGGGCTGACAAATCGATGCCAGCCGGCAGGCCGCCGGCCCCGGCACCCCCGGGCCCGCTGGCCGCACTTGCCGCCCCGGCGGAGGATGCCAGCCAATAGCTCACCGGCAGGCGTAGCAGCGCCGCGCGGAGCTTCTGCGTCTGGTCGGCTGCACTGGCGGCCTGCACGGCCCGGCGGAATTGCCGGCGCCGGCGCCGGACCAGCATGTCCAGCAGCGTCGGCACCAGGACCCGGGCATTGTGCCCGAAGGCCGTCATCAGCTGCGACCACAGGAGCTCCACCTCATAGATGAAGTCATCATCGTACTGGCAAGTGAGCGACACCAACAGACCGAGGAAGACACGATGCTGGGTGGGGATGACCAGGCGCAGGGGATCGGCCCCGGGTGGGGCGCTGGTTGGCCCGGAGCCCGGCCGGGGCGGGGGGGCCGGCCCCCCGGCCAGCAGGTCCACATACCCGAACCAGGGGAAGATCAGGGTCAGAAGGTCGCTCCGTCTCGAGGCCGACCCTCGGGGGATGGTGCCAATCCGCCGATGGACCTCGGCCAGGAGCTCGTGCGCCAGATGGGGCTGGTCCCTCGCCAGCCGGGCCGCCAGCGAGGCCTGGCTTTGCTTGTAAGCGGTCGGCAGGGCCGAGCTCAGGGAGATCCGATAGTCCGATGCAATGGGGCGCAAATTGAAGCGGTCCTCAATGATCTGGAGGAGCTGAACAGCTGGCGACGGGTGGAACGGTGTCAGCGAATGGCGGAGGCCCGAGCGAGGATCCGCATCATGAAAAGGACACCAAAGAAGGGAGCAGCGAAGGGGGGGGCGGGCGGGTGTGTGGGGGGGGGGGGGGGAACGGGGGCGAAGAGCCTGCGCGAGTACCATTGTTTCGGACGGCCAGATCCGGGTCAACCGCTTTGAACAGGGCCAGCGTCAGGAGCGGCGCGACAGAGGGCGGCAGGATGTTGTAGCCTTCATCGGGCAGGGCCCCCGGGGCGAAGGGCGAGTGCTGCTGCTGCGGCTGCTGCTGCCGGTGGCCAGGCCCCGGCTGAGCAGGTGGGACCAAGAAGGACAGGGCATTTCGCGAGGACGAGTACACATCGACCAGGCTCTGCAGGAAGCCGCGCGAGGACACGTCGCAGGTGGTGTAGCTACGCGCCATGGAGAGAGAGAGAGAGGGGGGGGAGGGGGGAGGAAGCGACCGGAGCCCAGGTTAGAGGAATGCCATGAAGGAAAGGGGGAAAGGGGGAAAGGGGGGGGGGGGGGGGGAAGGGGGCTGGAGTCGATCGCCAGCAAGGCTTGCGCGCACCAGAAGTTCAGGAGCGCGTCTAGGATGGCCCGGCCATCGTTCGAGTGGTTGAGCAACGCGCGCACCGCCGATCGGGCAATGTCGGACCGCTCGCGCAGGTCGGCCACGGTGGCCGGGATGCCAGCATCAATGCGCTGCGAAACGGTATCGAGATTGGTGCTATATGAAAAGAGCTTGTTGATCCACTGGAAGACGCTGAGGGACGAGAAATAAGTTTCCCCATGGTGCAGCATGTCCTCGCGGAAAGACAGCGGGCCAGCCAGCAGCGAGGCCATGGCCCGGTTGGCCTGTAGATCCAGGTGCCAGAGCAGCAACTTGAGCTGGACAATCTGGGCGCGGCGGTTCTGTGATGGAGAATAGCCAGCAGAGGGAGGAGGCCGGGAGGCCGAAGGGGGGGGGGCGACCAATCGAGGAGCACCACATGGCCCCGGAGGGAGGAGCGGAAAGGACAGACAGAGAGCGAAGACAGGCGAGGAAGGGGGGGGGGGAGGACAAACCCGAGTCAAGGGGGACAGGGTTAGCAAGAGGGACGAGGACCAAGGCAAGCCAAGGCCAGGCCAGGCCAGGCCAGGCCAGGGGCAGGCGGGGAGGAGCCAGCGTACCAGGGACTTCTCGTTTTCCAGGTGCCGCTCGCGCCGGAGCCGTGTGATGACCGTGCTCATGGTGTTGTTGGCATACACGGACCAGACACCGGTGACACTGGCCAGGTTGGCCCAGGACTCCATGAGATTGAAGAGCCGGGTGCGAATGCGCGGCGAGAAGAAGCGCTCCGCCAGGAAGGACAGCCTCGACACATGGCGATACAGCTGCTCGATGAACATGGCAAAGTAGATGCGCATCTTGAAGACATCCGACGAGGCCCAGCCGCAGTTCTCGTGGAAGTTGTCGAAAAACTGCGTCACCAGCCCCAGGAAGGAGGACAGATGCTTCAGGACATTCTCCTCGAGGTTGGAGGACAGAGCCACGCTCCGGGCGATCATCGAGTAGAGGCGGACAATTTCGATGCGGAAAGAAGACACAAAGCGCGGCTTGAGGCTCGGCACGCCGGGGACCGCACCGACCCCGGTGCCTGAGCCCCCGCCCATTCCTCCGCCAGGGCCGCTGCCGGAGCCACCTCCGGGGCCGCCACCGGGGCCGCCACCGGGGCCGCCACCAGGCCCGCTGACAGTCTCGTCGGTCGAAAAGAAGGCCGCATCATCGCCAAAGGCACTGCGCAGGTGGGGCCGGAGCTCCTCCAACAAAACCAGATGACCACGGGGGTGCACCATTGACAGGGCCCGACTGACGGCCGCCGCGAAGGGCGACGGTGAGGGAAGGCGCCCGGCCACCGATGGGTGCAGCCCGGCCAGGAAGTAGTCCGCCTCGGGCGATGGTCCGCCGGACCCAGGGAAGACAGGCCCATCGCCGGGGGCCAGGCCGGCCGGGCCGGGCGTCGCCCCGGCCGTGAGTCCCGACCCGGGCGGCAGCATGCTGGCCCCGCCGCCGGCGACGAGCCCCTCGCCGACGCCCGGCGAGAACCCGGCACTATCGCCGGACAGCATGGCAAAGAAGTCTCCCCCGGCAAAGGGGCCACCCATGCCGCCGCCGCCGCCGCCGCCGCCGCCGCCGGGTGCCACCGGAACAGCTGTCTGCGACATGGACCCCAATGACACCATCGATGAGGAGGACACCGCCGGCGAGAGGGACACGCCGGAGGAAGTCAGAGAACTCGTGGAGCCGGAAGCTGACACCGCCGCCCCCGTCGGGTAGGGGGATGACCCGCTGCCTGGTGTGCCTCCGAGGGGGCCCATTCCCGACGCGCCAGAGGAAGACGAGGAGGACGACGAGGAGGAGGATGAGGAAGAGGAGGGCACCGAGCCGGCCGGGCTTGCACCAACAGATAATGGGCTACTGCCGCTGCCGCCGCCGCCGCCGCCGCCGCCGCCGCCGCCACCGGTGCCCCCGGCACTGGCCATACTCGGATGTGCCAACTCGGCTGCCTGAACCGGCGGACTCCGGAGGAAAGTGAGGGCCCCGCGGAAGAGAAGGCGCGCTGACGGTGGCGCCGGTTGAGAGGCTCCGCGCTTGGTCGATGTGCTTCCGGAGGCCGACCCGCTGGTCGTCCCGCCGGAGGAGCCCTCACCCTCGCCGACCGGAATCGACAACAGTGCCGATGCGGGAACTGATCAGAAGCAAGAGAAGCAGGTCAGGACCGAAGGGGGCAGGAAGAAATGACTGATCGAGGATGGGGGGGGGAGGGGCGACACGATCGGCACATACCATTGGCACAGGCGAAGGTGAGATAATTTTGCCACATGGAGATCTGCTCCGGGCAGGCCCCAGGCTCGGGCTTGGAAATGGAGAAGAAGGAGCTGCGCCCAGCGGGGCGAAAAGAAGCCAAGACGAGGATCGGGAAGGAGGGCAGGACCACGAAGGGCGGGTCGTCAGGAGGCAATCAAACAAACAGGCAAAAGGAAAGCGGCAAAAGGAGAGAAAGCCGGCCTACCTCGGGGTGCTACCCGACGACAAGCCGGCCGAGATGAGCACACTCGAGTGCAGCTGCACGGTGGTCTGCCGGGCGTGGTTCCAGCAGGATGCCACCACGGCACTGCTGATGCCATTGAGCGACCCGGCCCGGCGCATGATCTCCGCAAAGACCGGGGCCCAGAAGACGCCATCCCCCTCGGCCAGCGCATGCAGGCGTTCCAGCGGATCATCCATGTCGGCAGGCGACCCGGCCAGCGGGACCCCACGGTGCACATTCGAGTAGATGTTGAACACGCCAGACCGGCGGAAGCTCGAATGCCGCACGGAAGTCCGGCCAGCTGGCGAGCCCCACACCACCCGCGCGCCGCCCGAAATGGGCTCGGTCGTCACGCCCGAGAAGGACCCACCCCCGGCACCGCGACTCAGGCCCCCCGAGGGGGGGACCGGCCGGCTGCTCGGCAGCGAGTCCGAGGACCCGGCGCGCGCCCCGGCCGAGGTGACGCCGGCTGGCGCCGCTGCCATCGTCGCGGCGCCCATCCCCGAGCCACCTCCGGACACGGGATCGCCGCCCGGTGCAGCATCCTCGGACAGGGGACCGCCGATGCCGCCACCGCCGGCGGCCGCCAGTCCGCCCGATGCAAAGGACCGGGGCGACTGGAAGGGCGACGTCACCGAGGTGACCGGCTCGAAGCCGCCGAAAACCAAGCGCGACGTTTGATCCGAGCAGGGGAGCCGCGTCAGGTCGTATGCCGTGAAGAAGTTCTTCGTCAACACATCGGACATGTTTTCGTAGACATTCCAATGGGTTTGACGCAGGGAATTCACCCCGGCCGAGCCGCTCGAGGCCGACATGGAGGCCGACCCGCCCGCGACGGCAGCCGCAGTGGCCGCCGCCCGGCCTGGCCCCCCGGGCGAGGCTCCGCGGCAGAAGAAGGGATTGAAATAGGCGATGGAGCGCATGGAGGTGCCGGCCGAATCGGCTGGGCTCGAGGAGAAGGCCGTCGAGACGGCCATGGCCGCCGACATCCGTCTCTTGAAGGGCGCATGCCCGGAGGATCGCATCCCCGAGCCCCCGCCCGACCCGGTGGCCATGCCGGCAGAGCCTCGGCCACCGGAGAAGGTGGCCGATGACAGTGACGCGGCCCCGGGCCGGCCGGAATCCTCGGCCCCCGAGCCACCGGATGCCGAGCTGCCCCGGCGCCCGGGACCAGCCCAGGCGGGGCCGCCGCCGCCGCCGCCGCCACCTCCACTGCCGCCGCCGCCGCCGCCGCCACCACCACTGCCGCCTCCCATGCCGGAAGACAGCCCCCCGGTGGCGGACTCGCCTCCAGGCGACGGGCCAAAACGCAGGAGCACATCCTCGGCAAACTCCGCCACCACATGGTACAGGCGATAGCCCTCGCCGGCGGCCGGGTGCCCATCGACCCCGACCCCGGCCGTGGCTAGCGAAGCCGGCAGCGGGACACCGGCCGTGGCAAAGTGTCGCGCCGTCCGCCGGGCCACATGTGACACATGCGCAAGGAGCTCCAGCGCGGTCTTCCGCACCAGAGCACTTCCAGACATCAGGTGCAGCACGCACAGGCGCTCGGCACGGGCGAAAATGTCCAACTGCGATCCCAGCTGTGCTCCAATGAGCTGCTCGTCTTCCTCCACCTGACCGGCGGCCAGGGCGGCCGGGGTTTGCTCGGGAACCGCGCGCTGCCGGCGCACGCGCAGCAGGTGGCGCTTCTCCGTCGGGACCGGGCCCACCTCCAGGGCTCGCGGGGCGCGATGCCCCTGAGCCGGGTCGCCCAGATCGAAGAGCAGAAACTCCACCATATCTTCCGGCAGGTAGTTGCTGCTGGCCGACGCTGGGAAGGGCGCTCCGGCGGTGGGCCCCGCCGTCGCAGCCGCCGCCGCTGCTGCTGCTGCTGCTGCTGCTGAAGGCCCAGCCCCGGCATCGGAGCCGACATTGGCCGTGCCACCACCGACACCGGTGCCGGCGGCTGCACTCCCATGCTCCTGGCTGGACGGCGCCTGGTAGGCGGCCATGGCCAGCGGCAAATCCGGCTCGCCGATGTACGACAGGCACGAGCCAAACAGGCCAAGGGCTTTCAAGCGGCTGGCCGTATGCCGGGGATCATAGCTGTCCAAGCCGGAGCCTCCAATCCGACCAATGGCATCGGACAAGGCCCGAACCACCTGGACTCGGGCATTGGGCAGGCTGTTGCAAATGCGCAACAGGGCTCGGGACGCCTCGGCCGCCACCCCGACATCCAGATGCAGGGAGTGGTGGGCCAGCAGGGTGAGCAGGTACTCCGGTGGCGAGGTGCGCGGAAGGATTCGCGGGATGGCCCGGAGGATGGCACATAGCAGCTCGATGTAGGGAAGCTGGTCCGAGGTGTTTCAGAGAACGCGAAGCAGCCAGGCACGACATTGGGGGGGGGGGAGGGGGGGGGGACAAAGAACAGCAGGTTAGGCCAGCCGGAGGAGCGGACAGGCGGGGCGGACATTCGCGGCACAGGGGATGCACCTTTTCCCGGGGAATGGTGAAGAGCCCGGACTTTCGGGCGTACTTGGCCACCGTTTGCGAGTAGATGCCAATGGCGAAGTCGGTGGCAATGAGAATCCGCCCGACGGCTGCCATGGAGGCGGTATACAGCCAGAAGGAAGACTGCCGGTGCAAACGCGACGCCGACACCAGCCGGCTGGGGGCCTGGCCAATACCGGCCAGCAGATCGTCCGCCGTGTAGGAGGAGGTCGACCCGCCGAAGGCCGCGCCAGGCCCGAGGCCGGGATGGCCACCGGCGCCGCTGGCTTGCAGGGTGAGGCGCCGATTGGCCGCATCGGCCTGCGCCTCGGCGAAGGGGCTGCCGGAGGCCGCGCTGCCGACTCCCGCCCGGCCGAAGGGAGCCGGGGAAGTCGGCCGCGTGGCCAATGGCGTGGAAAAAAACTGGGACGCCAATTCCGGGCGCCGGAGTGGCCCGCCAAAGAGCCCGGCATCGGCCGGGCCGCTCAGGCCCCCGCCAACAACCGAGGGAGTCAGCAGGCTACGAATGCGCCGGGCCAACAGGGGGTCCGAATCGCTGGGCAGGACGCCGCCATGGGGGAACAACAGGCTATTGCCATTGTTGCCACTACTCCCGGCCCCGCCGCCGGCACCCCACTGGAGGTCGCCGCCGCCAGCCGGACCACCGCCACTGCTGGCGCTCCCGTGCGCCGGTGAGGCCGACGTCAACTGCCAGCCGGTCGAGCATGGGAAGGGCGGAAGCTGCGAGGCGCTGGTACTGCCGGAGCCCATGAGAGCCATGCGTGGCCCGAGGTTGTCCAATTCGCCAATGAGAAGCAGCAGGCCTTGAGGATTGGGGGGGGGGGGGGGGCAGACCATCCGGCAGAAAGCATACGTCAGAGAAGACCACAGAAGAGGAGCCCACACAGGCAAGAAACACCCGCCGAGGGGGAGGTGTAATTTCACCGAGAGTCCCAGGCCGTACCATTGATGGCGATCGTCACCCGTTCCGGGGAAAAGCCCTCCAGCGAGTAGTCGGAAAGTTCGTTCGGCGGATTCAGCAAGAAGGCCGCCGCAAACTTCCCGATGGCCGGGGTGAAAAAGAAGTTCCCTCGACTCGACGGCCCGCGGGGGGTTCCGGTGCTGGGGGAACGTAGGCCGGGATCCGACCCGGGAAGGGGTGCCGATGATGACCGGTCGTGGCCGGAAGCTCCCCGGAGCAGAAGCGCCCCCGGGTCCACCAGTCCCGAGCACAGGGACATCACGGCGAATGCGGCAGCCGAGGAAATGAGCGCACCATCTGGCCACCCAAGCAGGGGCAGGACCAGATACCGCAAGGTGAAGGCCATGCGACCGGGCCCGGCCCCGGGAGACCCGATGAAATAGAGCATGTAGGACAGCTGGTCGTGGCGAATGTCCGCCGGGTGCACGGCCAGCCCGAGCATTGACAGCCCCGGCGCCAGGGAAGTATTCAAGGCCGAGAGGGCCAGGCTGGCGCACACGGTCACCGTGGTGGCCTTGGCCCGATCGAGCGAGGTCAGGAAGTTGATCATCGCCCCGATGGAGGGGAGAATCGTTTGGTTGGATGCCAGAGCCGAGGAAGAGGGAGCCGGAACGGGGGCGGTGGCGGACCCGCTGGCAGCCGGCCCGGCCGCCGACGGTGGCCCGGATGAGCCGGAGGAGGAGGAGGAGGAGGAGGAAGAGGAAGAGGAGGCACTGGACCCGGAGGCGGATTTGTCCGACGCCGAGACCGGCAGCGTCGAGGTGGAGGGCTCCTCCGAAGGGAAGACCACCCGGAGGAGGGCCTGCAGCCGGGACTCCTCGAAGGCCATTTCGCCATTCTGCGACAGGAGCTTCAGCGGATGGAATCGGAAGACAAAGATCCAGAGAAGCTGCGCAAAGCAGGTGAGGCCCACGCTGCGAACGGCGGGCTGTGCTTTAAAGAGCTTGACCACGCTTTCCAGATTGGATTCCCACTTGGCCTTGAGGAGCTCCTGGTTGGCCACGGCCAGGAGGTGCGTCGCCAGGGGGAAGGAGACCTGGGGCAGGGTCGAGAAGAATGCAAGCGGTTTTGGAAAGAGAGAGAGAGAGAGAGAGAGGAGGCGGGGGGGGGGGGGGGGGCATAATCACAGGAGCGGGGGTTAGAAGGGGCACGGAGAAGAGCCAGCCCGGCGCGTCCGGCCGGAGGAAGGGGAGAGGGAGAGAGGAGGACGCACAGCCGTGTGCCGGGGATTTTTGGTGAGCCGCGAGGCATTCTTGTATAGCGCCTCAATACACTTAAACCAGGCAGGCACATTGACTTCGGCCTCCACCGAACTGCACACCTGCCCAAGGAGATCGGTCAACAGCCGGGCAAGGGCCTCGGTGAAGGGGGCCACATCGATACTGACCTTCAGCAGCTCCCCGCAAGTGGACAGGAAGTCGGCCGATTCCAGTAGATGCTTCATGGGATAGGTCTGGAGGGGGGGGGGGGGGGAGGTGATAGGTGCATGCACGGGGAAGGCATCCGGAGAGTTAGCAAACAAGCGGAGATCCTCACGTCGGAGGACGCGAAGAAGAAGGGCGGAAGGAAGAGAGAGCCCGGGAAACCAACGGACCCGGATTGACACAAAACTCGTTGACCGGACCCAAAAAAGGGCCATCGGGTTGACTTTGACACTGAGCGGCGAGAAGGACATCATGCTCGAGGGCACCGGGGCCACGGTCTTCAGCTCTTGCAACAGGCGATCGGTCACACGCTGGAAGTGCACTCGCGACAGGGCCCCCAGCAACTGGGCGAAAGGCTCGGGGCTGTTTGTCGCGCTGGTTGTATGTGTTTGTGTATGTGTGTGAGGGGGGGGGGGGGCGACAAATCAGAACAACATGAAGGGGAAAAAAGCCGACACGGAAGCATCGGCCGAGAGAAGGTCAGAGGGGAATGTGGGGCCACGGGGGAGGGGGCCTCAGAGACGCACGGGGCTTTGGCCGCCCGCTGCAGGGCCAAGAAGGCCAGGTTCTCCACCCGGGTGAGCGCCTGCGATGAGGCCTCCAGCGCTTGAAGGACACGGCCACTGACATGCGAGGGGGCCTGGGTGCCAAAGGCCGGCCGAGAGAGCTCGATCAGCAGGGACATCTGGGCCGCATCAATGTGGTGGATGATCTCCGAGGCGATGCGGCAGAAAAAGAAATCGAAAACAAGCTGCACCAACACCGGGGGGAAGAGGGGACCGGCAGTGAGGAAAGAGTCAGTGCCATGGCAAATGGGAGAAGAAGGAGCAAGGGCGCGGCTCAGCGGCGCACCGAGCGCAGGGCTGGGCCCTGCTCGCTCTTGGACTTGATTTTGACGCCACGCGAACGAGACTCCTCGGCCGAGGGCGGCCTACATGGGATGGACAAAGGAAAGCCGTCAGGAGGGGGGAAGTGGGCGGGGGGGGGGGCGAACAAAAACAGCTGGGATCTCAGGATCGGCGGGGAGGAACAGAACAAAGAGACAGGCAGGGAGGGAGGGGCCCGGTCAGCTGGGGACCGCACGCACGGGCAATTGGTGGTGTACCACTCCATCAGCTGGTCCAGAACCGGGGCCAGGAAGTGGCGCGCAATGGGTCCCAGAGCGGCTAGCGCCAGGTCAAAAGGCGGGAAGGCGCCCACCTTGCAGCGAGACCGAACCAAGTCCGCCTACATGGAGAGCAGGGGAGGAGCGGAAGCGAGCGAGTGAGCACAGAGGGCAGGGGGGCGAGGGGGGGGAGGGGAGGGGGGGCATGGACGCGTGTGTGTGTAGCGCGCGACAGACAGCAGAGCGAGCGGGTCCTCAGGGGGAGGCGGAGGATAGGACCAACGGAGGGAAGGACAGGGGGCGGGGGAAGGGGGAGGGAAGAGAGAGCGACAAGGGACTTGACGGACGGAGAAGGTGACTTGGCACAGGTGCTCGATGGCGGATTCGGCCTCGGCGATGACACGGGCGAAAAGTTGCTCAACGGCGAAGCGCCCGGGCGCCAGGCTGGTGTCCAAGCCGGAGCTGGTGCTCGGCGGGGCGGCGGCAAAGGCGGCAGCCGCCGATGTCGACGCACCCATGAGCGCGCGCGCCGAAGGGGCACGGATGCGAATGGGATTGCCCGGCCCCTCGGGAGCGGCTGGTGCCAGGAGGGCCGGCGATTCGGTGCTCGGCCGCGGTTGCGGGGCTGCCGCCACGGCGACCGCCAGAGGCGAGGTCAGTTGCCCGGTGTATGCAGACCCGGGCCAGGAGGCTGGCGGGCTGGAGGCGGTGGCGGCAGTCGACTCGTCAGACGCCGCTGACATCAGAAACCCCAGCGCCCCTGGGTGTGCTCCGCTGGGCGGCGTCAGGCGCCCGACATAAAGATCACTGTTCGAAGGTGGGGGCGGATGGGAAGGGAGTGCGCCCTCCGTGGTGGCCGGTGGCCGGCGGCGAGGCCGGCTGTACTCCATCATTCGCCAGGAGGGCGGGGGGGAGGAGAAAAAGGGCGAGAGAAGGGGAGGGGGGGGCGGCTGGGAGGAAGGGGAAAGGACACGGGAAAGATGGAGATGAACAAGTGTCGGGGGGGGGGGGGAAGAGGCCAAGCGATGGTGGAGCGAGGGGAAGAGGTCTGGGAGGATTGCTTGACTCGCCACGCCGAAGCCCCCCTGCCCGGGCACGCTGGCCGAAGAGCATGGCAAGATCGCGTCTGCCCGCCCCGACCGGGCCGGCCTGGCCGGGCGGTCTCCGGCTGTCCGGGGCATGCCTCTCCAGATTGAAAGAGGGCGCAGGAAAATGAGCGAGCAAGCAGCGGCACCCTGGCCGTGTGTGTGTGTGTGTATCTGTGTGTGTGTGTAAACGGACACTGCCCGAACAAGCAGGAGCACTGCGGCCGCCTGCCAATGCTTGCCCCCTTGTGGTCGGAGACTAGATCTTAACAGTGCGAGAGCCAAGGGAGATCGGGACGGTGCGCACAGGGCGGCGGCGGCGGTGGCGGCGGGCACGCCCACACGCATGCGCCCACACAAATGCGCCCGCTTGGCTGTGAGGGGGGGGGGGGGGGGGGGGGGGGGGGGGGGGGGGGGGGGGGGGGGGGGGGGGGGGGGGGGGGGGGGGGGGGGGGGGGGGGGGGGGGGGGGGGGGGGGGGGGGGGGGGGGGGGGGGGGGGGTCGCGGGGAAGGCGGCGGAGGGGCAGAGAACAGGCCCGGGGGTCTCGATCATCTTTCTCCGACCGGCATCGGGGCCGGCACATATGGCGGCGAAGAAGCACGCCGCCCGGCCCCTGGGGCTCCCGCCGCCCCCCGCCCCCCGACCCCCGACCCCCAGGAAGCCCGAATGCCCGGGGGAGCAAAGAAGCGTCCGGCGAGGGGGAAGGCCGCCCGTGGGCCAGCCTTTCGGGCGGGCGCACATCTCCGGCCGGAGGCCGCGCCCGCGGTGTAAGGGGCCGGCGTAAAACCCGCAGGGGCGCGGCCCCCCCCCCCCCCCCGTCACGGTCGTGGCAAGGGCATAGCGGTGGCAGCAACGCGTGCACCTGGCCCCAATCTGCCCGGACGGCCCCCCTGGCCGGGGGCATTTTTGGTGCCGTGGCACAAAAAGGCATGAAAAGATATTCACACAACAACGGGCCGTGAATGTGTTTTTTGGGGGGAGCCCGGGCGAGTTCTGCACATGCAGAAATGCACACATGACCAAAACACGATCCTCGAAAATACCATTACATATACATAGCGCAAAAGCCCTTTTTCATTTCACATCTTGGCCGAAAATTCACCGGCGCATGTGGCTCCCCGGCGGTCCTGCGCCGGCGCGTGTGTTGCCCAGGCCTCCGCCGCTGGGTGGTCCCCCCGGCACGCCCTCGAGGATGTGCACTTCTTCGGCTCCACCTCGGCCCGGCGGCCCGAGCGCCTGGCATCTGCGCCATCCGCTGTCCCCCCGCCTGCCGGTCCTCCGGGGTACCAGCGAGTGGCGGGGACCCAGGTGCCCAGGGAGAGCGCCCGGCCTCGCGGGGGCCCGCCCCCGGGCCACGCCATGGAGTTGGGCCATGAGGCCTCGCGGTGTGGCGCGGCGTGTGCCACCCCCAGCCCCGCCCCCCGCCCCCCGCCCCCAGCCGGCTGGCCACGAGCCCCGGGTGCCAGGTGGCGGGGCCCGACGCCCAGACCTGCCGGGGCGGCCTGCTCGGGCCGGGAATTTTATCGCGTGTGGCTGGACGGGACGAGCGTGCCCCGGCTCGCGCGGACAATTGGACCCAGGCGACGCTAGCGCCGAGACCGCGCATCATTCCCGGCGTCTCGCCCGGCGCCAGTGCCGGCGGGGGCCTTTTCAGGATCCAGGCCGCGCGAGCGGGCCGGCCGGCCAGCTGCTCCCCTGTCCTTTCGGCACTCGCACGCTCGATCCTCCTTGCCCTCCCCTCCCCCCCCTCCACCCTCTTTCCTTCCTTTCCGCTGCCTGCTCGCCGAAACACACCTGCCTCCCTGTCGCTTCCTGCGGCTCGCCTTTCCCCGCCCCCCGCGAGTGGTGATCCTCTGCGCGAGAGAGAAAGAGAGAGAGCGAAAGAGAGCGAGCAGGCGGTCGCATCCCCCTCGCTCCAGCCCCCCTCCCCGTCCCGACCATGAACGTCACTCCCTCCACTTCGGTGGTTGTCAGCCACAACCTGACCGGCATCCACTTCTCGTCCTACACCTCGGACGAGATCCGCCGGCTGTCGGTGAAGGCCCTGCACAACCCGGTGCTCTTTGATGCCTTCGGACACCCGACCCGTGGCGGCCTGTATGATCCTGCTCTCGGTCCCTTCGACCGTGATGCCATGTGCGGGACTTGCTCGCTGAACCAGCAGTCCTGCCCCGGCCATGCCGGCCACATTGAGCTGGCCGTGCCGGTCTTCAACCCCAATACCTTCGCCACCATGTACCAGTTCCTGCGCGCGACCTGCTTCTTCTGCCACTCCTTGAAGATGGCCACTCATCGTGTGCGTGCCTCGTCCGCGCGCACGACCCTGCCCCTTCCTGGCCGTGTGTGGCCACCTTTCTCCCCCTGCCCGGCTGCCACTGACCGCTTGCAATCTGTGGTCCTCCCGCTTCCCGTCTCTCTGTCCGGTGCTTGTTCCACGGGGAACCCCCCCCCCCCCCCCCGCCATCCATAGGCCCACAAGTACAAGGCTATCCTGACCCTCATCGACCACGGCTTCCTGACCGAGGCCCTGGACCTGATGGAGATCAACCTGGTGGTGCGTTCCCATGGTCCCCTGTGCTGGCCCTCGATCGGCTCCCAGGACGCGGTGTCCTCTCCGCGCTCGCGCTATGTCCATCCGCTGACCGCCTCTTCTGTCTGCTCCTCGGCTGCCCGCAGAAGCGGCGTGCCCCCTCGGCCAAGGCCGAGTCCTCGGAGAGCGCCATCCTCAAGTCCGGTGAGAACATCCTCCTCCAGGACATCAACTGGGACAGCAGCGAGAAGGGCAATGCCGGCATCTCGGAGGAGGTGTACATGGCCCGCATCGATGCCTTTGTCGCCTCGGTCATCGGCAATGCTGGCGAGGGCAAGCGCAAGTTCAACAAGGTTCGTGCCCGGCATGGGTCTTTCCGGTTCCCCCCCCCCCCCCCCCCCTCGTCCGGACCACTGACCCGCTGTGTCGTTCGCCACAGTACATCCAATCCCATGAGGAGCGCCGCCGCCTGGTGCGCGCCTTCTTCCGCAAGATCCCCCACCAGCGGTGCGAGAACTGCGGCGCCCATGCGGCCACTCTGCGCAAGGAGGGCCTTGCGCGCATCTTCCAGCGCCCCATCCAGGCGCGCTACCTCCGGCAGAATTACGCCCAGGGCCATCGCGAGGTGGACTTCGTGTCCGGCGAGGCCACAAGCAATTCGGTTGTCCCGGCCACTGGCCGCCGGCAGGTGACCGATGAGGACACCATGTCGCGTGAGACCCTCATGAGCGGCGCTTCGGCTCCCTGGAACAATGAGGATTCCGACTCGGACTCCGACTCGGACTCCGATTCCAGCTCCGATTCCGATGGGGATCTCGACCCGGCGGCCGTCGAGCTGGCCCAGCAGAAGGCCGCCGCTCGCGTCCTGATGGAGGGTGGCAAGGTTGGCGACGAGGAGGAGGATGGTCTGTCCACCTCCGGCAACAACCGCACCCTGCTGCCGATCCATGTCCGGTCACACCTGCGCCGCATGTTCGACAAGGAGAATGACATCGTCCGGCTGTTGCTGTGCTCGCTGGCTCCCCCGCGTCCGGGGGCCTCGCGCGCTCGCGGCGCCGCTCCCGAGCGTGTGACTCCGGAATCCTTCTTCTTCGAGGTGGTTCCGGTGCCTGCCACGCGCTTCCGCCCGGCGTCCAAGATGGGCGACAAGGTGTTCGAGAATGCCCAGAACGTCCATCTGACCAACATCCTGAAGGATAACCAGCGCCTGGTGGAGTTGCAGCTGCATGCCGAGCGTGCCGGGGCCAATGTTTCCGTGGATCTGGAGAAGACCGTGTCCGCGTGGTTCTCCCTCCAGGACAATGTCAACTGCCTGGTGGATTCCGGCCTCAACCGGGACATGCGGCGCCAGGTGCCGAATGGCATCAAGCAGCTTCTCGAGAAGAAGGAGGGCCTCTTCCGCAAGCACATGATGGGCAAGCGTGTGAACTTCGCCGCTCGTACGGTCATCTCCCCCGACCCGAACATCGGCACCGAGGAGTTTGGTGTACGTGCCGGCGGGGCCCTGAGGCCTGCCTTTGCCTGTGCATTTGCCTCGGCAACATGTTGCCAAGTGTTGTGCCCATCTCCCGCCTCTTTCCCTTTGCTTGTCTCTCTTTCCCTCTGCCTCTCTCTGCCTCTCTCTCTCTCTCTCTTCGCGGTTCCGGCTGCGGCTGCTCCCTTACTAACGCATCTGGCGCCGCCTTGCCCAAACGCATCCAGGTCCCCATGGTCTTCGCCACCAAGCTCACGTACCCCGAGCCGGTGACCCAGTACAACATCCGGGAGCTTCGCCAGGCGGTCATCAACGGCCCGGATGTCCATCCTGGCGCCACGCACATCGAGAATGAGGATGGCTCGGTGTCGGCTCTGCGGCATTTCTCCTCGGAGGAGCGTACTGCCCTGGCCAACCGCCTGCTGACGCCGCAGACCGCCGGGGCCGGCGCCTCGACCGGCATCAACAAGCGCGTGCTGCGGCACATCAAGAACGGCGACGTCATCCTGGTCAACCGCCAGCCGACCCTGCACAAGCCGTCCATGATGTCGCACAAGGCGCGCATCCTCCCCGGCGAGAAGACCTTCCGCATGCATTACGCCAATTGCAACACGTATAACGCCGATTTCGATGGCGACGAGATGAACATCCACTTCCCGCAGAATCAGATCGCCCGCGCCGAGCTCTACCACATCGCCAACACCGACAATCAGTACATCGTGCCGACCGATGGTAAGCCCATTCGTGGGCTGATCCAGGATCATGTCCTGACCGGTGTGCTGATGACCAAGCGCGACACCTTCTTCACCCGGGAGGAGTATTTCCAGGTGCTGCATGGGTCCCTGCCGGAGTCCATCCAGCATCTGGAGACCCTGCCGCCGGCCATCGTCCGGCCGCGGCAGCTTTGGACCGGCAAGCAGGTCATCTCCACCCTGATGATGAACTTGACCAAGGGCCGGCCGCCGCTGAACCTCACCTCCAAGGCTCGTATCCCGGCGCGCATTTGGTCGCACCATTTCCGCGCTGGCGATGAGCAGTCCGCCACCGCGGCCAAGAGCCCGGCCGTGGAGGAGGCCGAGGTCATCTTCCATGAGGGGCATCTTGTGCAGGGTGTCCTGGACAAGAACCAATTTGGCGCGTCGGCCTTCGGTCTGGTGCATGCCTGTTACGAGGTGTATGGCGGAACCATCGCCGGCAAGCTGTTGACTGCCCTTGGTCGGCTGTTCATCCGCTTCCTCCAGGACCACGGGTTCACCTGTGGCATGGATGACCTGATCCTGCTGGAGGCGGCCGAGGAAAACCGCCGGCGCATGTTCGATGACATCGCCCAGGTGGGTCACTCGGTGGCGGCCGAGGTGGCCGGCCTGCCGGGCAGCGTCAGTGCCGAGCGTCTCAATCAGAAGCTCAGCGTTTTGTTGCGTGATGACAACAACTGCGCCCGCATGGATTCCGTCATGAAGTCCAAGACCGGCGAGATCACTTCCTCCATCATTGACAAGACCCTGCCCGAGGGTCAGATGAAGTTCTTCCAGGACAACAACATGTCGCTGATGATTCACACCGGTGCCAAGGGCAGTAATGTCAACCTGTCGCAGATCACCTGTCTGCTTGGGCAGCAGGAGCTCGAGGGCCGCCGTGTGCCGCTCATGGCCTCCGGCAAGACGCTGCCGTCGTTCACGCCATTCGACACCCAGCCGCGTGCTGGTGGTTACATTGCCCAGCGTTTCCTCACGGGCATCCGCCCGCAGGAGTATTACTTCCGTTGTATGGCTGGTCGTGAGGGTCTGGTTGATACGGCCGTCAAGACTGCCCGTTCGGGCTACCTGCAGCGGTGCATCATCAAGGTATGTCGCTGGCGTGTGGCCATGGCAAGGCCGCGGATGGGTTCTCTCCTGGTCCTTGGTGGTGTTTTTTTTTTCGCTGCTCTCACCTTCTTTCCTCTCTTTCTGCCTCTGATTCTGTGTCTCCGTCTTTGCGCGTGTCTCCGTCTTTGCGCGTGTCTTAGCACATGGAGGGCCTCCGTGTCCACTATGACAACACCGTGCGCGACTCCGATGGCTCTGTGGTGCAGTTCCTGTATGGGGAGGACTCGCTCGATGTGACCAAGCGCCTGTACCTGGAGCAGTTCCCCTTCTCGGTGCAGAACCACAAGGCCTTCCTGGCCAAGTACCAGCCCGAGCGCGTCCTCCATCGTCTGGAGCGTGAGGAGGGCCAGTCCATGATGAAGAAGGCCATCCGCAAGCCGAGCAAGTATGACCCTGCTCTGGCGACCTTCCCGCCTGGTGTGCATCTGGGATCGGTGTCCGAGCACTTTGAGAAGTCCCTGCAGAAGTTCATCGATGCCCAGCGCGAGGCCGGTGGCATGTTGGACGATGAGTCTGGCGCGCCGCTGGACGCCGATGCCTTCGAGGAGCTCATGTACCAGCGGTACATGCATACCCTGGTGGAGCCGGGCGAGGCGGTCGGTGTGCTTGCCGGCCAGTCCATCGGTGAGCCTTCCACCCAGATGACCCTGAACACCTTCCACTTCGCTGGTGTTGGTGCTGTGCGTGTGCCAGGGGCCTTTCTCTCTCTCTCTCTCTCTCTCTCTCTCTCTCTCTCTTTCTCTTTCTTTCTTTCTTTCTTTCTTTCCCTCTCGCTGATGGGAGGGGAGTTTATGCCTGGTCTTTTTCTCTTCTCCTCCTGTTCATCTCTTTCTCCCTGTCTCCTGTCTGTTGCCTGGTGTTGCTGACCTTTGCTCTCTTCTCCCCCCCCCCCCCCCCGGCCTCGGTTTGTCGTGCCTGCGTCTGTGTGGCTCAGAAAAACGTCACGCTCGGTATTCCCCGTCTGCGTGAGATCATCATGACCGCGTCGTCCAAGCCGCGCACCCCCTTCATGGAGCTGCCGATCCATGCGGACAAGAGCCGCGCCGATGCCCTGCGCATGGCTTCGGTCCTGAGCCGCCTGACCCTCGGCACGATCCTGGAGTCGGTGCAAGTGCGGGACTCGATCGCGCCGCCGGCGCGCGGGCTCGGTCGCCAGCGCGTGTACAATGTCACCTTCCAGCTGCTGAGTGTCCTGGAGTGTCAGGAGGACTTCCTGCTGTCCACCGACCAGCTGGCCCCGTATCTGTGCGGGCCGATGATCAAGCGCCTGGTGGAGCTGATCCGCCGAGACCTGGCCAACCGCGTGCGCGATGCCAAGCAGCAGGACGACTCCCTCGGTGTCGGGGTCTCGGAGGTGAGCGACGTCGTGTCGTCCATGGGCAAGCGCGGCGCGGCTCGCGCCAGCGCCGAGCTCGATGGCGGTGCCGGGGCCGACGAGGCCGGCAGCGATGACTCGGACTCCGACGACTCGGACTCGGAGTCCGGCTCGGCGGCGGCCAAGAAGGGCGCCGCTCGCCGGCAGCTGTCCTCCTACGATGACGATGGGTCTGACTCGGAGGAGTCCGATGCTTCGGACTCCGACGACAGCGCCCCCTCGGATTCCGAGGACAAGATGGATGTCGACGTGTCGGCCGGCTCCTCCGGCAAGTCTGCGCACTCGGACCAGGAGACTCGCATGGCTCAGTCCCTCTGCCAGAATGTGACCGCCTACTCCTACGACCGTGTCACCAACCAGGTGCACCTGGAGCTCAGCTACAACATCGACACGCGCAAGCTGATGCTGGTGAATCTGCTGGAGCGTCTGGCCGAGACCTCGGTGATCCGCGAGGTGGCTGGCATCAGCTCGTGCATGATTGACGAGGAGTCCACCAAGAATGCCAATGATGGCCAGGTGCGTGTCATGCCCAGAGCTCGCCTTCCCTCCCTTGTTCGCTGCCCTTTTTTTTTTTTCATTGCCGCTGCCGCTCTTCCGTCCCTCGCTTTTTCCCTCTCTCTCTCTCGGGGCCCGGTGGACATCGACTGACGGCCATTGGCCCGGCTCCTTCCCCTTGTTGCGGCTCGTGTCCGCGTCATAGATTCGTCTCGCCACCGAGGGTGTCAACCTTCAGGGTGTGTGGGAGATGGACAATGTCATCGATGTCAACAGCATTTCGTCGAACGACATCAATGCCATCCTCAAGACCTACGGTGTGGAGGCTGCCCGGGCGACGATTGCCTCTGAGATCAGCAAGGTCTTCGGGGCGTATGGTATCTCGGTGGATCCGCGCCATCTGAGCCTGATCGCCGATTACATGACCTTCCACGGTGGCTACAAGGCCATGAACCGCATGGGCATCGAGGCCAGTGTGTCGCCGCTGCATCAAATGTCCTTCGAGACCACGATGCATTTCCTGCGCAGCGCGGTCACCCACCAGGACTTCGATTCGATCGACAGCCCGTCCGCTCGAATTGTGGTCGGCCGCCCGGTCGAGGGTGGTACTGGGTCCTTCGAAATCCGCCACCCCGTGATGGAGTAGTGTGGGGAGGGGCAAGCACGTTGTGCGCGTGCCTGTGTGTGTGTGTGTGTGTGTGTGTTTGTGTGTCAACACAGGCTCGCACATATGCGTGATGGCAGCACCGCTTCATGGCTCTCTCTCTCTCTCTCTCCCCCTCTCTCCTCCCCACTCCCTCTCCTGTCCCTCTCTTTGTTTACCTTCCCCACCCATTTCTTGCTTGGTATCTTTCGTTCGGCGACTGGGCCGCTGTTCTGCGCCTCCTTCCCTCGGCTCCCGGTGGGAGGAAGTGCGCCGGTCGAGTTGCCACCCTTTTTCTCCCTTTGGCCAAGTCTTTCTGTGGCGCAGGAGGAAGGAAGGGCAAGCATGCGCGTGCTCTCTCCTTCTTCCTTCCTCCTCTCGTCCCCGGAATACACACATAGATCGTCCCCCGGCTCTCTGTTGTGTTCTTTCTGCCGGAAATGGCCAGATTGCCCGGTTTGTCCGGCCTTCTGCATGTGTCTCTTCGTCTTGCCGTCTCTTCATCCCTTGGCTTCCCGCGTCTCTTGGGGGGGATGGAGCCTGCTTCAGCATGAGCAAGGGGCCGATTTGGTGAATCTATTGTGCGGTGGAGTGGGAGGGAGGGAGGGGAGGAGAAAGAAAGATAGAGAGAGAGGGGGGGGGGGCGCAGGGGGAGGGGAGGAAAGTGAAGAGACTGCGACGGTTCCTTCACGGTTCTCGACTTTTTCCTACCGTGCGGATCGGATGCGCGCGCTCCTGCGCCGGCCAGGGGTCGGTGGCTTTGGGCCGGCGGCAGCCGGCACCAGCCGCCGGCGGGGCCGATCGGCGCTTGGTGGCGCGGGACTCTCTCCCCGAGGCCCGGTCTCGGCCAGGGAAAAGGGTATCCGCGGAGGCGGGCCACCAACCCCCGGCCGAGGTCCATCGAACTCATCGACCGAGGAGGACCCGGAATCGGTGGTCCCGCTGGCGCTGGTCAGCACCAGCAGCGGGGACACCAGGGGAAGACTCCCTCGGCGGTGATGGGGCTCCCCGCCGGGCGCCGGCGATCCGACATTCGGGGGGCGTGGCGGAAGCCGGGCCATGGCCGACTTGCTTGAAGGCGACCGGACCCCGTCAGGAGTGGCACACCCGCGCCTGGGGACGGCGTCCGCCCGGCAACCGACCGTGTCAGCGGTCGCCCGGCGAAGATCAAATGCCCGCTGACTGGGGCTCAGCTGCTGGAATGTATAAAGCCCAGGATCGGGGGAAAGGTGAGAACGCGAGGCCGAGGCCGAGGTTGACACGATGGTCAGCCGCGAGGGGGACCAGCAGGCGCTGTTCAGCCCGGTAGCCGATGTCGGCGCGGCCCCTGATCGCGGAGACGCCACGAGAATGTGATGCTCAACAGGCAATGGCGAGGCCGGACCCCCGGCCGCCAGCAGCAGGGATTCCACATTTGTGCCACCTCCGAGACCGGCAGCACCATTGGCCACCAGACGAATGGGCTCACGGAAGGGGGATGCCAGGCCGGCGGGCAGGTCGCTCGAAGAGCGCGTCGGGGTCCGAGCTCCGCGAGGAGAGGAAAGCGCCGGCGACGGGGCCAACACCGCCAAGGGGGCCTGATGCGAGTTGCCCCGGCCTCGTCGACTGAGCAGAGCCCCCGCCGGCGAGGGTGATCCCAATCCCACCGGGTCCAGCAGGGGCGATGAGGTCCCGCTGCTGGTGCTCGTCAGGCCCGGGGTGGAAGGAGCCGCCCGGTCGAGCAGGCTGATGGGCACCGAGGGGAAGGGCGGACATTCCTGGCGAGTGACCGGCGTGCCGGAGGCCCCCGCCGGCCAGCCCTCAGCCACGGTGCCATACTCGCCAGTGCGTCGGGAGAAACGCCGCCAGGCCTGCTCGGCAGGGAATTGCCGGGCAAAGTCGAGTCGCAAGGAGGAGGAGGAGGAGGAGGAGGAGGAGGAGCTGGCAGACTTGCGGGCAGGCGATCGACGCACGGCCGGCTTCCGGCCGACCGCACCTTTGGGCGGGCGGATGGTGACCATGTCCGAGGCCGAAGGCCGGGGCCCAAGCTCGGCGGCTGCCTGGCGGGCCACCCCGCGCCAGCGCCGGTCCTGGGCGAAAGATGAGTCATCTCGATCCAAGACCGGGCCTCGGTACTGGAGGCCCCGTTGCATGCGTCCCCAAGAGACTGTGCATGTGTATGTGCATGTGTATGTGCATGTGCATGTGCATGTGCATGTGCATGTGCATGTGCATGTGCATGTGCATGTGCATGTGCATGTGCATGTGCATGTGTGTGAGTGAGTGTGCATTTGAACACACAGCGGCAGGGAAATGTGCCAGAGGACGCGCGAGAAGGAGGCAAAGGGGAGGCAACCCCCCGAGCAAGCAAACGCACCGGAAAAGGAGGGCACTGCCTGGCGGGCACTCATGACCGCATCGCTGCGAGCCGCCGTGCGATAGCATTGACGCCAGGAGTTGAGGATCATCACTGCCTGGTCGAGGTCTCCCATGATGTGCCAGTCAAAAATCCCCAGCCACTCGGGAGCCAGGGGGGAGTTGTCGAAATAGAGGGAAATGCCACCGTTGTTGCGGACAGCGCGAGACTGCAACATCATGTGCCATGGGAGTCAGGGGGGAGGGGGGGTGCCTTTGTAAGTGGCACCGAAAGTGAAGAGTCGGGGAAGAGCAAGAGGCAGGCCTGGCAGCGGTGTCGTACCAGTTGCCGGACAAGGTGTCGGCAGCCATCCACCTTGAGCGACGTCCCCATGACCATCAGCAGGGTGGGCTGGCTGTCGAGGAGTGACCGGGGGAGGGAGGGGAGGGGGGGGGGGGGGAGAGAGCGAGAAGATGAGCCTTCGGGACAATGGGGAGGGGGAGGCCCAGGCAGCACGGAATAGCCCCATGCAAGTGGGCAGGCTAGCAGGCGGACACGCACTCCTTGAGCGCGCGCTCGACATCCTCGGAGATATCTTCCGCGCGGGGATGCGACTCATTATAGAGGACCACACTGGGACGCAGGCGGCCGACACCGCGCGAGCGCGAGCTATTGGCCTTACTGCAAAAGGCAGGCAGCCCGGAAGGCAGGCACAAGGTCAGATTGGACAGGGTGTGTCAAGGGGGTGCTGCGCGGGCAGGTGTCCGCAAAGCGCACCGGAAATCGTCAATCGCCTTGCAGGCCGGGCACACGGGGAAGCCCCCGCCAAGAAGGTCGGCCTCATGCTCGACCAGCGGGAAGGTCTCATGGCAAAGGGTGCAGTACACCGTGTCGAGGGTCCCATGAAGCTCGACCACTGTCCGGTCGCCAAGGCCGGCTTTGCGCTCGAGTTTGTCGATATTCTGGGTGTATGCCCGGAGGAGTTTCCCCTCGCCCTCGAGCTCACGCAGGAACTTGTGCACCGGGGTCGGCGAGGCCCGGCGCGAGTGCTGCGCCAGAACCGCCATCAGCCTCAAAAAGTCCCTCGTTCGCTCGGGATCCTATTCGATGTGCCACATTCCCGGGGGAGGGAGGAGAAGGGGGCGGGGGGCGGGGAGGGACCAAGGAGGTCAGAAACACATCCGAGGGCGGGGGGAGGGACCAGAGAGGCAGACATACATAAAAGACGCTCGCATCGAAGAGGTCCTGGCCACGACGGGCGGCGCCGCGGCGGGGCTTTGCCGCCTGGGTGCCCGGGCCACCATCGACCAGATGCTCGGCTTGCTCATAGACACCGGTCAGTGACCGGAAGTCCGGGATGCCACTGGAGGTGGAAATCCCCGCTCCAAGGACCGCCACAGCCCGATGTGCGGGCTCGCAGAAGTACCGGGCCAGGCGGTGAAGCGCGGCCGCCGGCGATGGGCCCAAGTGCCCGGCCGAGGAGAAGGGCGCCGGCAGGTCGGCCAAGCTGCTCACCGGGATGATGATGGTTGCCCGGTGGCGCAGATCCGGCGGGGGCTGGGAGAAGTCTGGCGGCCGAGGTGGGGCTCGAGCGGCCCGCTGTCGGGCCAGCTCCAGGCGCCGGAGGGAGCGCTGCGAGTCGAGGGCCGCGCGTTGGAGCTTCGGGCTGAGCAGTGGGCCGCCACCCCGGCGAACTTTGTAAATCCCCCGGAGTGGCCGTCCGAGAGGGGATGCGCCGGCACCGAGGCCGCGCGGGCTCCGTGGCGACTGCAAAAGCCGGTGCTGCTGATGGTAGTGGTGCACCGGGCAGCCGAAGGAAAGTGAACAGCCACGCGGCCCCAGGCGGAAGCTCCGAAGCGGCGAGCGCGGCGAGCTGGGCGGGGAGAAGACCGCCTCGCGGCGTAGCGTGGCCGTGGCGGTACCGGAGCCGTCCATCGGGGGGTGTTTCTCTGTTGCTCTCCCCCAAATGGAATAGGGAGCGGCAAGGGGCAAGGTCGGGAGGCGCGAGGGGAAGGGGTGGGCGGGGTGATATCCTGATTTGAGGGGGAAAATGGGGGGCGGGGGGGGGGGGGGGAGGGGGGTGGAAAATGGTCCGGGCGTCTGAAGGGTGATACCCGGGTCCTGGCAGAGGTGTGACTGGACGCTGCCACTTGGCCAGCCTCGAGCCTCAGGCCCCGGGGTGATCGGCAATTGAGGGGAATTAATGCCCAGCTGTGCCCCCCATTCCCTGGCGTACACAC